TCCAGGTGTACCCACATTCACTATCAGAACAATTCATGACAACCATACATGTGGAGGAATCGCTCATCTTGGCCACCAGCAAGCCTCAGTTCAGTGGGTGGCCAACTCTGTGGAGCAACGGCTTCGGGAAAACCCAAATTGCAAGCCAAAAGAGATCCTTGAAGAAATTCACCGGACTCATGGAATCACCCTGTCGTACAAACAAGCTTGGCGTGGAAAGGAACGAATAATGGCTGCTATGCGCGGTTCCTTTGAAGAAGGTTATCGCCTTCTTCCTCAGTACTGTGAACAAGTTAAAAGGACCAATCCAGGGAGTATAGCATCAGTTTACGCAAATCCTGCTGATAATTGCTTTNGTGAGGGCTGCCCTTGGCGCATTCATGCTGCCAAACTTCCAGGTGTACCCACATTCACTATCAGAACAATTCATGACAACCATACATGTGGAGGAATCGCGCATCTCGGCCATCAGCAAGCCTCAGTTCAGTGGGTGGCCAACTCTGTGGAGCAACGGCTCCGGGAAAACCCAAATTGCAAGCCAAAAGAGATCCTTGAAGAAATTCACCGGACTCATGGAATCACCCTGTCGTACAAACAAGCTTGGCGTGGAAAGGAACGAATAATGGCTGCTATGCGCGGTTCCTTTGAAGAAGGTTATCGCCTTCTTCCTCAGTACTGTGAACAAGTTAAAAGGACCAATCCAGGGAGTATAGCATCAGTTTACGCAAATCCTGCTGATAATTGCTTTCAGCGGCTTTTTATATCATTTCAGGCTTCTATTTTTGGTTTTCTAAATGCTTGTCGCCCTCTTCTTGGGCTTGATCGGACGTTCTTGAAAAGTAAATATCTTGGTACTTTACTTTTAGCTACTGGCTTTGATGGAGATGGCGGCCTTTTTCCGCTAGCATTTGGTGTTGTTGATGAGGAAAATGATGATAATTGGATGTGGTTTCTCTCTGAACTTCATACCTTGCTAGAGGTCAATACAGAAAACATGCCAAGGCTTACCATCTTGTCTGACAGGCAGAAGGGCATTGTAGATGGTGTTGAAGCAAATTTCCCCACTGCTTTCCATGGTTTTTGCATGCGTCATTTGAGTGAAAGCTTCCGTAAGGAATTCAACAATACAATGCTTGTTAACCTGTTGTGGGAGGCCGCACATGCTCTTACAGTAATTGAGTTCGAAGCAAAAGTTCTCGAGATTGAGGAAATATCACAGGATGCTGCATATTGGATTCGGCGGATTCCTCCACGATTGTGGGCCACAGCTTATTTTGAGGGCACAAGGTTT